TTGACATTCTCGTTACGCGTGTAGGTTCCAGCAGGATCGCCTGGAACCTAGAAAAAAAGGGTTGATCATGCCCAGACAAAGACACAAACATGGTTTCAGGACCAGACAGATTTCATTGGCCAGGTATGGACTCCGGGTATCAGCAGACACTCCCTGGCAGGATTGGCACAGAAGATGCCTCAGCTGAACACTCTGAGGATGTACCTCTCAGGCTCCTGGGATCGTTCCGTTCGGTTCTTGCCTTTGGTTCTGTTTGGCAGCGGGATCCTGGCAGTCAGATCCAGCAGCTGTGACTTCTGGCTGTGTGGTGGTGTCAAACCGATAGAATCTCCACACATCTTTGATTGGGAGGTTACTAGAGTTACTAGATGTTTTACTAGAGTTACTAGATGTTTTTCCAGTGCACCTCCCTTGGGTGATGTGCTGCCCCCATGTTTGCCACGTATTGGGGCGGGCGGAAGGAGCTTTGAAGGAGTCTGGGGTCAATCAAAGGGGACACTCCCAACCATTAGAGGTGAACGTGATTGATGACGATGTGATTGGGTGGCCACTCTGAGGGTGCGATGGCATGGGTGACGCTGGCTATGCTGCGCTTTTTCAGCGACTGCCGAAGAGCTTGTAGCAGGGCAGCAATGCAAACATGCTCTTGTGCTCTTGTTGTGTGGAGGCAGGCGGCAGGCATGTGAACATCGCGAATCCCAATGCCAAGCTTTTGTCATAATTACTGGAAGGATATTTTCACAAACGATGACCTTGGGTCAGACACCGCCGAGATCCAAGTTGGAACCCTTACAGCGTCGTTGCAATCCTGCAAGACACGGTGTCACTGGGCTGGCCTGCGTCCCAGACCAAGTCGGTGAAAAGGATCGACCGAAAAAGCACTCTTTGGGTATATAGATGTTCTATTTGGTGAGGTATAGATTAGTAATTATAGATGATCTATAGATGTTCTGTCTTGTAAAACACGAAGTTGCGGTCCCTGCAGCCACCTTGGTGTTTTCCTTTTCACTTTACCCGAGCCGGTGGTCCCAGGCAGATGTTGGAACTGGAGCCCGGGGGTGCCTTCAGCGCCGCTGGTCTTTGTGCCCTGCAGACCGCGCTACTCGAGCGGTGCGACGTGCAGCTGCGGCTGGCGCCTGGGAGACAACCGAAGCCACCCGAAGACCGGACGTTTGTAGCCAACCAGAACAAGAAACTCTGGAAAAAAGGCCTAGACCGGATGTTCTTGGGTTTTCCGGTCTGTTCTTTTTTTGGTCAGCAACATGCATTGCAATGACCCAAAACCCCACTGCATTCTCAGGACTGTTCCTACACCCAAGTGGATGAAGACTTAGCTGCTGAGCTCATCGGTACCTCGCCGGAATCACTCGCTCGGCCTCGCGGCCTCGCGCGGACACCGGTTTTCGGGCGGCGGAAAAAGGACAAGGTGGGTGACCTTCTACGTTTAATTCAATTTGTTTAGGTTATTTAGTTCAATTCAAGTCGAATTAACTTAATTCAATTCAAATTAAGTTAAGTCAATTCAAATCAATTGAATATAGGTCCCGAAGGCAGGAGGTGGGCTGAACAAGACCAGAAAGACCTTGTCAATATTGTTTAATTAGCTGCTTATAGCTTTTGGGCTTTTAGGTTTAAAGAAAGACCTTGTCTTACCTTGTCTTTAGAAAGACCTTCTGAGGTTTCTTTAGCTTTCGGCGAGCGAAGCAGATGGAGTACTCAAACCCGCTTTCGCCAAGCTTCCACTGCGCTGGAATTGACCACTCAGCACTTGCATGCATGGTGCTTCATGGCCGTTTCTCAAAATCGACCTTCCCATGTTCGTCAGAACCGATGAGTCAGTCCGATGAGTCAGATTCCCCCCACTCTGTTGAGACCAACTCAAACATCCACCAACTCAACTCAAAACGTGACTTAACATGACCAACAAGGTTGACGAACCTATCCTGTTTCATGTTGTCAAACTCCATGGTCTTTTCCTCATCACCTGTCGTCGCCATGTTGAACCTCAGTCAGTCCGCCCTTGAAACGGACCCTGAGGCCCGGGTGGCCTGGCCACCCTCCGTCGCTGGCAGCCGGAGGTGGTAGCACCAGACCCGGCACAGCCACCCAAGGCCAGACCGGTCGTGGTCGAGATCTCAGATCGTCTGAAGATCTGATCTGTCAAGCAACTGTTACTAGTAGCGTGGCACTTGTTTCTAGTAGCTTCTTGTTACTACTAGTAAGGCACTTGTTACTAGTAGCGATGCACTTGTTACTAATAGCATCAACTCTGATTCTTAGTTTTGCTTGGTAGCTCACCTGTCGAACATCAACCCAGGTGCGGTTATGCCACAGAACCCAACAACCCCCCCCTTTAAAAATGATTTGCAGTACCAAAAATCCCAACACATGTCTCCCGGACCGGACGATCTCGGGGGGTGGGTGGGTCCCAGTTGACCCGAGTTGTAGAGCCGGGCGACGTCAACCGCACGTCAATGCTACCCTCCCAGTTCATTAGGCTTCACCAACGTCTGAGACCCACTTTGGCTTCCCAACGTCCCCAAGTCAAAGCCGACGTCGGCACGAAAACCCGCGTTTCCCCCAAACGACGTGCGGAACTCGTCCAAGGCCGATGCCGAAATCGACTCGTGACTCGAATCACTTCGTCAGACGACGTGCGGACCGTGCACGGCGTGCTCACTTTCACCGTGAACGTGCCACAGGGCCCGCCAGCCAGACCATCTTCGCCGGCGCCGGTGCCCGAAAAGGCCGCACCCACAGTACTGAAGGCGAGATGTTGGGTGGGCGGGGGGTTTGGGTGTGGAGGTTGTGTAGATCAGGACCAGTGAGGTTGTGGATGTCTTGCCGGACCTCAGCATGCTGGGAATCTGCGGAAATCGGAGTTTTATGGGGAGAAGAAACCAACAATTGAGGACCTTTCAGTTTTTCTGGCATTTCTTCTGGTATACAGTAGAAAGTGTCCCAACACCTAGGTCCGAAGGTCTTGATTCAAGGGAGGGCCCCGTTTTCCAAGAATGTCGTCCTGACTTGACCACTCTGCTTGGGTTCCTCTCACACCACCCTCCTTTAGGCCCTCAACTCGCATCCGCATGTCCTCAATTCACCAACTCGGTTCACAATGGCGCACTTGGCAATGGGTCTAACCAAAGGACCCTGGTTCACCAACATGAACAGACTACTGAGCAGGTCAACCTACCAGGGTGGCTCCATCTGCCAGGCCGCCTGATGTTCTTAAAGATCTTTGATCCGCAAAACCGCATTCCATGATTCAGCTCACTTTCCGAAGACGTAGTAACAAGAAGCTAGTAGAAACAAGTGCCACGCTAGTAGTAACAGGTGCCACGCTAGTAGTAACAAGAAGCTATTAGTAACAAGAAGCTACTAGGAACCAAGCGGCGGCTTCGAAAGCCGAATGGGCCGTCTCGTCGCAGCTCCAGGTCTCCGAAGTGATTCCACAGACCTTGCCATCACCACGGACCTTTCAGGACGCGCTAGAAAGCAGGTAGCGTCCTAGGTGGAGGCCCTCGCTACGAACAAGAAGCTACGAACGTAGCTATTTACTACTATATATAGTCATAATGCCCTTGTTACTGGTAGCTTCTTGTACCAGAACATTTGTGTGGCTGAGATATTTTTGTGGGACTTTAGGGTATTGAGGGTGAGGCCGGTTTGTGCGAAGTTCCATGTGAACATGGAGTGGAAGGTTTTGCTTGAAGCAGCATCATCCGGAAGCTTTGGATGTCAATCTTCCCTTTCGCATCACGCCTGTTTGTGAACACAGCGAAAGTGTACGAAAGTCATGTAGGTTTCCTGGTTAGCATGGTGTTTCTCTATCTACTCCAGTTGGAGAATCTCCTCCTTTCCTGGCAGGAGGACATGTCGGACACGAAGCCAAGGCACTGGGATCGACGATCGACCGAAAGAAAGAGGCTTAGATGGGTGACCACTGGGATTTAACAATAAGCCTCCAACAAATGAACCAATTTTTAAGTCCAGCATCTTCAGGGCTGTCGGACTTTTCTGAAAAAGTGTTTCTTTGACCTTTTTTCCTCCAGCGGAAAAAGAGCTGTTCCCGTTTGGTGCACCCCTCAGAGGCTGAAAGCAATGGACTTTCTCAAACAAAGGAGTCTGATATACTGATTAACATGGAAGTGGATGGCATAGGCCCTGCAAAGACCATGAAATCCTCTCTGAACAGTGGGGTTCCACGTCCATGTGATGTCCGAAAGACCGTACTCGAAGTCTTTGATGTTTCTTTTTTTTGGCGCAGATTACACTCTCTTGGAAGACCATTTTCCTCCACAAACAGGGTGTTTTCCACTTCCATGTCGCAGTTAGTTCCGGTAAGCCCCTTTTGTCTTCCTAAAATCTTCAGTTCTGTTTTTGACACATTTCGACCGGGCGACCTGGCCGAGGTGCTTACGTGACCTGTGTACCCGCCTAGCTGAAAAGCGCAGCGCCCCGATAAAGATAGTTAGGGCAAAACATCTCCCAGCTGGGCGGAGTTCCATGGTCAGCGGAATTCCACTGATCCATCAAATTCCCATGGAGGCCGTGACGAAATCGCCGTGAACGACGTTGCGCCACGCACGACAGGGCGCCCAAAGCGGCTGCCGCGACAAAAGCCGCTGCTGTCGCCAAGCAGGCGGCGAAGGCGTCGCCGCTGTGGCTTGGTCCAGAGGGTGGCAGAAGGCAGAAGCGCGTGCGGCTCGCCTTTGTTCATGTCATGTGCACATCTAGTATTGCGTAGTATTTTGTTGCATGAAGGAAAGAGTTTGGCGCACATATAGTTGTTTGATAATAGGTGTCTAGTGTCTTAATGCTTCTCTACCATTGACATGACAACCCTGTGGTGGAAGTGAAACAAAGATGCATGAACTTTGGTGGGGATCAACCCCTTCTGTCCTGTACCATGTGGTAGGCCCTTCGAGATGAAGCTGGCTGACGCAGAAAGCAAGATATCCATTTCCAGCTATCTTTGTGAGCAACACTGGCAAGGGAGGCACCTTTGGCTCAAGTCATAGCCTCCGTTGTCCACAGCGCCTGCCCGACGCGTGGTCGCCACTTGATCTCGTCAAAACGAGTGTCGTTGAACACCGGGATTGGTCCGGCTTTTGTCGGGAGGTAAAACGAAAAGGACGTGAATCAACAGCAGCGTGACTGCTGCCCCGTCGTCCGGCAGTCCAAAGCTATCTTAAAGCATGTTCAAGGCTATCAGCGGTGCCAAGTCTTTGGACTTCCAGGATTAATGACTGCACGTTGTGGACCTGTTGATTGACCCTGGCGAAAACTTTCAGGTGGCGCCGTCCGACGATGGTTCAAACGTCTTTCTGTAGACCCAAAGGCTGTTGAAGATCACATCCAGATCACAACACTCTTCGGCGCGACTGGTCGGACCTTTTTGGACCAAAATGGAACCAAAGGCGACCTGGGGATTAGCTGATGGTACAACGCTTGTGATCAGTCCTGTGATCATGCACACTTAAATGAGTAGTGTTGACAAGAGCATCAGCGTCAAAGAGCTTTGCCTTCGAAGCCCAACAACATCACAGTTTCACTTCCAGGGCCAAGCCACATTAAGCAGGTCAGAGTCAAGTTTGCAAGCTTCTTGTTACTACTAGTAAGGCACCTGTTACTAGTAGCGATGCACTTGTTTCTAGTAGCGAACCTTGTTTCTAAAGCTTGTCCGGATGCATCTCTTTTTCACGAGGCAAGGACATCCTTCCGATTGGCCCATGTCCTTTGCAACATTCGGTCCATGGGCTTTCACCCATGTCACACTTCGGACCGGTACGAAGTGCAGAAACCGAACCCACTGGCGGATGTTGACATGACAAAAGCCCAGGGACCTTCCTCACACTTCCAACAGATTGTTCAGGAATTCGATTTAAAGGTGTGTAAATGAACCCCCTTTATTTTGGCCTTTTACACACAAAAGGTGTCATAAGCTTCCTCAAGAAGGTTGGATGGTTTTCTGTTTAGCGCGGGTTGAGCGCCTGTGGCGCCCAGGAGAAATGGAGAATTTCCTCGAGACTCGCTGTGATGAGGAGAACTTCCATGGCACCTGGCGGGACTTCCTCACGTTGCCCGAAAACGCGACTTCGGTTCCGGTGATGGAGCGATGGTGACGGCGATGAATGAGGAATGGTGAGACATCGATGTCTGTATGGTTGAGAAAAGAAGCTACGGCCCCCATGGCCTCCACCCTAGTAGTGATGGCCTCCAACCTAAGAGCGATGGCCTCCAAGCTAGTAGCAAATCTTTTGGTTCAGAGGGCAACATGTTTCTTCCTTTTTTGGTGACGATTTTGCTTTGTGGGGCTTCTTTCGATCGTGTTTTTTCACTAGTTACTGTAGGTGGTCTTTTCTGGTCTACAAACCTCCTGGGCCTTTTTTTGCTTTCGATATAGACCTGGCCTGGATCAAGCCAGGGCCACAGGCCTTTCCCAGGCCCACACCAGAACCGGATTGATCGTTGAACTCGCTGGAGCGGCTCATGAGCGGAACCAGCTGGAGAGGCCTTTCCGAAATGCACAAAAAGCTTTCGCACTCCTTAAGGATCATGGAGCCTTCGTGGAGGTGAAAGAGAAGAAAAAGAAGAAGAAGCCATTTGCCTCTCAGCTCTACCTGCAGTGGTAAAACACGGCACAAAAATCTGCCCCCCAAACCGCTGACGCCATGCCCGCCACATTGCCAGTGATGCTGTCTGTCTGCGACTTGCGACTGTCTGACCGACTAAAGAGACCTGAGCTGGGATCCCAAAGGGCGCACATCTGGGATGGGCTAGGCTTGCCAGTTCAACCTCCAGCACCCTCCGTTCGATCCGGTGTTTCCTGGTGACGTCCGGCCTGGTGCACCGACTCGTGCCGCGTGCCGCGATTCACGAGGTGGGCGGTCGCTATGGCGTGGCCATCGAGGAGGCGGTGAAGGCAGAGATGCGAGGGCAGCACGGCGCCGTCGGGGAGGCGTGGGAGGGGGGGAGGGGTGGAAGGGGTGGGTGGGGTGGGTGGATTCTGGTTCAATTTGGCCAGAAAGTTGTCTAGGTTGGGCAGGAGGATTTGAAGAGATCGGTTGGGAGGCGCCGTCGTGTTGCCAATTCTAGCCACAGTTTTTTCGTATGTCCTTCCAACAGCTGCTGAGGTTTGGGGAAGATAGATCACCTATCAGTTGTGAAGTTTTCCCTTTTTGGAACCGACCCACTTGTGGCATCCTTCATGTGCCAAGCCATGTCGCAGTTCATGTTTCCAAACAGTATATTGATCAAATGTGCAAGGACAGACCTCCATTGGACACCCATTGGATGTCATGTTCTAAGTAGTGTTCAAAGTATGTTCCCTGTTGCGATGTTTTTGTGGCTGTCTCCACAGTATTTGTAGATCATTTTTGAACGACTTTGAATGGCAACAGAAACCTCGGTCTGGACGCCATCCTGATACAAGTTGCTGCATCTCCCCATCATGTAAGCACTTTCGACTGGACACATGTATCTGTCTGGTAAGGTGATTGAGCTCTTAGCAGACAAGACGAAGACCAATCCTGCGGGTCTCGTGTCAGCACCCAAGTCGGCTCGGGCGCGGGGTCTCGCGGGTCGAAGCGGGTCGGGTCGGGCCCGGTGACGGCGACGGCGGAGTTTTGGAATAGGGCGCTACTAGGTTGGAGGCAGTACTTACCGCACAGCAACCGCAGTGTCATGCGTCGCGGAAGGAAAAACCCTCCATGTTTCTAGTCAGTTTACCTCTTTTGGCAAGCTAGGATCATTTTGGAAGACTCTCAGCCGGTGAGGCCTTATGGTTCAACCAGACTACACACCGGTCGTGTGATGCACTAGTGACTATGTAGTGATTAGGAAGCCTGATGTTGCTGGGGAGTGGATCAGACGGCCATGACAAGACACGCCCTCGCAGAACTTCCTTAGCAGGGCAAACTTTTGCAGGACAACCACGTGATATACCTCAAGTGTTGCCCTTATATAAGTGTTACATAGGCCCTATGTAGGGAGGATTCCAGGGGGTATTGCCAGGGGGTATACGCAAAACCCTTAGAAATGGTTCCGGTAGTTGATCAGCAATCGTCCGGAACAGAACCATTCGCTTCGCGACCAGCGCTGGTCAGAGACAAAGCACCTGGCAGAAGTTGCCGAAGCTCTCCGAAACACCACTCTAATAGGGGCTCCTGGCCTTACTACTACTACTGCTACTCCTGCTACTACTACTACTACTACTACTACTACTACTACTACTACTACTACTACTACTACTACTAACAAGGACGCTACTAGTAGCTCCTGGCCTTACTACTAGGAACAAGCAGCTACTAGTAGCTCCTGGGCTTCCGACGAACGACGACGCACGAATCCCTTGAGTGATCGAACCGTTCGAGCTCTCGGTCGTCAGGTGCTGATCATTTGGTGAAGGCAGCAGAGAATACAGAGGAGAAGACGAAGAAGTGCCCTGAATCGCAGAATCGTTCGCTCCTAACAGTGTTCGCTTCTTCATGGAAATATGAATGTTTCTTCCCCACTTGCTTGTGTTCGCTTCTTTCTGTCCTTCCTTTCTTTGTTCTTGAAAGAACTTCAGACCTTTCTTCTGTCCTCTTCTGGCTTCCCTCCTTCCCTTTTGGCTGAAGAGTAGGAAAATAGAGGATCGCATGGCACTAGAGAGATGTTGGGACGTTGATTGTTCTTAGGTAGTGTAGACGTTGTGACCCAAAGGTGGTCATAGGAAACATTTCCTGTGACTTCCCAACACCAGAGACCCACCCACCCCACAGGCCCTCACACCCCCGACATATGATGTGAGCTGCAAGTGCGTTTGTCTGACAGGGTCTTCAGAGAGATAACTGCTGACTACGTCCGCCCGAAGGTGCCATTAGTCTTAGTCTCCGAAGCAACGCTCTGAACTTCACCACCTCATCCAGTGCGGGCCGGGACGCGGTGGACACGGACTTGCTGCCCTCCCCCTTAGTTTCCGTTGCAACAAGCGTAGACGCGGAGGGAAGTCTCGGCACTCTGGGCCACGCCGCTTCGAGGTCGAGTGATTCCCGTCCTCGGATCGCAGTGATTCGCTGGACGTTCGCTGGACGTACTTTCTACGGTTTTTTTCTTCGTTGATTCGGATTGACCAAAAGAGGACAGCCCCATACCTCTGGGTTGATGTTTGCCAGTACTCCCATCTGTTTTAGCATTGAAAAAAAAGAGCACAGCCCCATGGCCACGGCCACCCACATCTCGTCGCTTCTTTTGCCGGAGCACCGCACATGAAACGCTTTCGCGCCGCTGTTCTCCGCACGTCTCAGGCAGATCCACAAAGGAAAGCAACACAAGCTCCTGAGCTGAACTCATGAGCTAGTGCGACTAGTGCGTATGATTTTTGAAGGGTCTAAAAACCAGGCTCCAATTGAGTCACCAACGTCGAATTCCCCAACCAGACGCCATCCATCCACCCGTTCAGTCGTCCACCGCCGCGCCAAAGCGGCGCCCGGGCGCCACACGAGGCTCCCCGTTTGGGAAGAATCGGACTCCTCCAGTTCGGACTGACTAACCGGAGAGAGGCGCTGGATGGGGGGTCCGAACGGTTCCGGGTGTGGTGGGAAGGACAGGTAGACCGAAGTCTACAGAGTGATAGCCCAGATCGCGAAAAGGCACCGGGAACGCGGAATCGACAGGTGTTTGGGGTGGCCTTTGTCACTAGTAGCTTCTTGCTACTAGTATTAAGGCCAGGAGCACCCCTAGTAGCGTCCGAACGCTCCTATTAGGCGTCCTTGCCACTTGATTGGTTCGTGGTATTCTCCAAGACTCGCGTGCTCATCGCCCTTTGCAGGACTCGAATCGAATGCGAAGCTGTTCAAGATCTGAGAGTGTAGACGGCACGGCAAATGCTTGGAATCTGAGAGAATGACGATCATGACGCCATCACGAGGCAGGCACTATGACCCTTGAAAAATCCAGATGAAATCCGAGATGCCAAGCCTTCAACAAGGGCCTTCCGAGGCTTTTCTGTGCATATCCTACTTTAGATGCTTCTTCTCGGCGGACAACATCGTCGAATCTCTGAGAGTGCGGAGAGCTCCGCAAAAGGCAGCCTATTAAGTGGTTTTATTCTTGCAAGAGCCTCAAAACAGCTAAAGGGCAATGTAGACCCTAGAAGTCCAGATCGACGGTTTTGGGCCCCAACGAAGTAAATTCCTTGACTCGGGTCATTACTTCAGGTATGGAGATCATAAGATTGGCCCTACATACTTGGTAAACTGGGCCTGGGTGGTCTTTAGGTGTTTAGGATGCTCTCCCCGTCACAAGCAGCTGTAACGTCACTAACACATGGCTGTGTCCTGAAATGTCCAGAACCCACCTTGATCAGCACTGCTGAGCTACTAGTAGCGTACTTGCTCCTAGTAGCGATGGCCTCCAACCTACTTGCGATGGCCTCCACCTAATAGCGTCCTTGCTACTCGTAGCGTCGTAGGATAATCCCACTTCATGGAACAGTTTTGTTGGCATTTACTCGATGTGATCGTCACTGAATCATGTGTGCCAGCTCCTATGTATCTCGCAGAGACAATTGTTGGATGATTGTCAGGAAATTTCATTCCATCGCTCTTGGGACAGAACATGGCAACAACAACTTCTGGCCCTGTGCAAAACACCTTCGAAAGCTTCATCATTCCAAAAAGACCACCACTATTACAGTGGATTCAGAGTAGATGGCACTGGCGCCCCATAACTTAGACAGATGGGGGTCCATATAAGCCACCAAACTTGGGGTAACTTGTGCAATTACTACTCTGAAACGACTGTACCACCAGCCAACCGCCACTGGGATCCTCCTCCAAGGTCCATGTGTGGAGCCCAAGTCTTACGCCAGCCGCGTCAGCCGCCCGCTGGCGGCTTGCTGCAAAGCGCCCAGGCCAGCGCCAAGGTGGGGTGCGTGTCCAAAGCATGGTCGGTAAGGTTTAGTCCTCGATGTCAGGTGCGGGTGGCACAAGTTTTTCTTTGCACCTGCTTCGGAGTTTTCGTTTCGGCAAGAGAGCGAGTGCATGGTTCAAAGACGTCATTCGTGGTGGCTGTTGTCATCCAACGGCACTTGTTGTGTGTGCTGGCGCCTCTTTGAAACGAATTGATGTCCGCTGGTCTTGCGGTTGCTGCTTTCATAAGGGTTCTCTTCCTCATGGTGAGGCCGATTCAACTTATTGTTGAGGTGACCATCGGTGAACTCATGCCGGGATTGGACTCCCACACCTCATTCCGGATTGGGCACCTGAACCTGTGCACCAACTCCCCACACTTCTGGATGCACCTGGTTGATTGGTTCTTCTTTGGTGCACCCCACCACCCCACCACCCCAGCCGCACCGCCTCGTCTCAAGGCGAAAAGCCGCGGGGTCGGCGCGAGCCGCTCGGCGGTGAAGCTGTAGCGATGGCCGGCGCTTGAGGCTGCGAGGCCTGCGATGGCCTCCACCCTAGTAGCGATGGCTGTGCTGTGAGCCTGTGTCAGCCTGTGTCAGCCTGAATGCACAATGTGACTTGGGTGAATATGCATAGAACATGATTTATTCTGCAGAAAGTGTGAATTCACAAGCATATATACTTATTTCAGCATCTCTGCTGCATCTTTGGTGACTCCCCTCCAAGCCGATCACGAAACAAATAATCCTACATCACTTGCCACTGCCCGAAAGCACAAGTCCTTTAGACATTGCTTTTGTTGCGCAAAAAAAGGACACCTAAACTGGAGTTTCCAGTGGAAAGGTCCAGTCGTGCAGTGCAGGATAAACAAAAGAGAACAGGTCAGTTTCCTCTAGATCCACCACAATGAGTCACAATGAGAGCTCCCTCAGTGAAAGCTGAAAGCTCCTGAGCTGAAAGCTCAGTGCTGCAGCAGTCGCTTCGGGCAGTCGCCCCTGCAAAAGGAAGTCGCCACAAAAGGAAGCCGTGGGCAAAGCCACCGTCCGGGAACGGGTTTAAACCGGCCGGAGATGGCGAAACAGCTTGTGCTTTGACAGATGGACAGGCTCCGGATCGGTCGCTGCTTGAGGATGACGAGTGGAGGGGAGGGGAGGTGGCTGCTCGAGGGGATGACGGTGGCTTCCAACCAGTTTTGTAACCTTTTGAGGGTCCCAACCAGTGACCGAACCAACCAGAGGCTTCAGTGGCCGAAGCAACTGGGATCTCGTGTACCAACTCCACGGCTGTGGAGGTTCTGGCTGTGGTTAAGTTGCCTGTGGTTCACACGAGAAGTGTGCAGTCGAGACATGGACGAGCTCCTACATATTTAGAATCCTCGTGAAGTGGACAGATTGTGGGGACAGTCCAAACGCAAATGGACTCTATTGTACTTGGAAATGCCAGCTTCAGTTGAAGAGTCCCTGCACCAACTGCAAGGAACACACGTGAATTCAATGGATAGATCATGATAGGTCCGATAGGTCGTTGGGAAACTTAACGTTCGTAGCGTCCTTGTTCCGTTCGTAGCTTGCGGCCAGGAGCCCCAGACTCGAACGCGATGCCCGAAGTGCTCCGTTCGTCCTCCCCGCGCTGCATCGGCACCTCGCCGGCGCAGGACTCAGAACTTTGAAGCCTTGGAGGAGTGCTACAAGCACATGCGAGAGGCCAGGGGGTGGAAAAGCCATCGTTTTTTTGTCTTCTGAGGTTGGAGGCCATTGCCATTGCTAGTAGGTTGAAGAGCCTGATGGAGAGTTTGGACTGGAGAAGTCGTTCTTGAGAGAGTACGCGGAGAGAGGGGTAGGGTGCTAGCATTGGAAGCAAGAGGTCCAATTCTGCGAAACACTGAGGCTGAAGTAGCAGATCTTGCAATAAAATATAGCTCAAGCATGCTCAACCAGTTTTTGCCCACTATACACGTTGAGATGAAAAGGGCGACGCATGCGTCCCTGTAAATCCTGATTGATCCTGATTGTGGGCTTATGCTGCTTTCATGGGAGGTCACCAAAAGGGTAGTCATCTGCCATGAGATGGGGAGGGGAAGTGAGCAAGCCCCCTCGGCCCCAAAAATGGACATAGAATGGGCGCCTACACAAAGAAAAGACAGCAGACTCTTCAGTTTGGACCTGAAAGCTCCCCAAATACTCCAAGTTCTTCTTTCCGATCCCGTCGCTGTGTGTTTGTGTGTTCCGTGCCTCGTGCAGCGCGTCATCCGGTCGCACATCCAGGTGGGCGTCCCTGTTGCGCCCAGCGTGGTGCTCGAGGTGCGGACCCAGCGACGCAGGGAACGTCGGGGGGGGATTAGCACGTCCAAGCGCAGGGGTGCTCGGAGTGGTGCTTTTTGGGGTGAAGAACAGTGATTTGATTGGGATCCCGATGTTTCAGAGTCCAAGGCTTTTCCATTTGCCGAAGATGAAGCCCCCTTCCACCCTGTGTAGCAAATGAGATGTGGTCGATCAGTCGATCAGTCGTTTGGTCGATCAGTCGATGTACAGCCTCAGAGGAGTTGAAAGCAATCACCATCGGGCAACAAAACTAGACTTTACTAAACATCAAGCACACGGAGGGTTTTCTGGGAGCATTGGCTTTGGTGAGACACACCAGAAGCAGCTTATCGTGCTCCAGAGAGAGTGTTGACTTGAAGATGGATCGCCATTGCATGTTTCTTCCATGTGAATCGATCAACAGGCTAGTTAGATCCAATAAATTGTTGAGGAAGCTGCCATCACGTACTCAGTGTAACAATAGCAGTAGCAGACTTCTTGGCTTTTGAGAGCTAGATGAACTTCGTTGAGCTGAACACGAGGCTGAACCACTGAACCGCCCGAAGGCACCGTTGGCCACCCCGGGGCGCCAGAACGCGCGCCAGGTGATCAATTCCATGGCCATCGCCGGCGACGTGAAAGGCGGCCGACATCGGCGAAGGGGACGTGGCTGGGTGGGTCTGGAGGAGAGTTTCCAGAGCCGAAGGGGAAACGAACTTTTATGGGAACTCCTTCCAATTGAACGATCTGGAGTCTGGAGCATCCAATCAGCTTCAAGACATGCGTCAAGACCCAGACTTGACAGTCTAGTGACTTGACCAAGATCTCAAAAATCCGAAGCGATCTCATGGCTTTCCACCGTCTTCTATGCAGGAACTCTATATTGCTTGAACATCGTGCGATGTGGATGGTTTTCAGATAGACTTCGTTTTGCTCATTTCAATTTCTCCCTAGACCCTGAGTGACCTCGATTTTGAATCACCAACCAACCAAAGTCATGTTCTTTCCTATAACAGCGCTCATGTCTGGGTTCTATAGTCTATTAAATAACCACAATACATATATTTATATAACTACTATGTTTTCGATTATAAAACTACTATGCAGCTGTATGTGTTTTGTTTTGATTCCGTGGGTCACGGCCGCAGGTGCCGAACGCTGGTATCCACGACTGACGGCTAGCGGTGGCGACGTCGTTCACGACGGTGCAGATCTGAAGTGTGCTCGGCCAGATTGGAGCGTTTTCGCAAACACGAGCGGATCACTACTAGGAGCAAGAAGCTACTAGTAACAAGACAAGAAACGCCTTGTTCTGGGACAACGGTGGATCGCCCGATTGCCAGATACGATCGCCTCATGATCTTGGCGGCGAAGGGTGACTACGTGGCCGCTGAGCGTCGGGGTGCCCCGTCTTGGCCCGTCTCGAGGCCTCGCCAGGTGTGACCTGGTGAAAGTGGTGTGACCTGAAAGAAACAGCGAAAGAACCTAATGTTAACCTCTCATTAGTAAACCCCTCCTATGAAAAAAACATGATTCTGTTCTTCGGGGTAGTCAAAACGCTCAACCTTAATAAAAGACTTCAAGGCCATTGGCAGAGGGGATAGTAGTAGTGGTAGTAGTGGTAGTAGTGGTGGTAGTAGTGGTAGTAGTAGTGGTAGTAGTCGTAGTCGTAGTCGTAGTCGTAGTCGTCGTAGTAGTAG